TATATATATATATATATATAATATATTATATATATATATATATATATATATATATATATATATATATATATATATATATATATATACAAATATAGCTATCTATATAAAACACTATTTTGAAACGAACTTTCAGGTTCAAGATCAGGGATGGCGTGAAGGCGTATTTTATAACGTTTACGAGTTGGAGTGGTACTGAATTTTTATGGCTAGTGGTATAGCTTAGAATAATACAAGAGCTTTATGATACTCATCGGTTCAATATATGAACTAGTTATAGAAATATAATTAACTACGTGTATGTGGTAGTACGGTATAGCCGTGTTACAATGTATTATTTTCACATTTGTGGTTCAGAACTTCAGGGGTTGTCTACTAGCTCTCTACTCTAGAGGGCGTCAGCCGTCAGACGGTCAGGGCGGTAGGGAATAGCTTTATATTTATTTTTATTTTTAAAAACTTTAATTAAACAGCCACTGATGAGTAATAACCTTGAAGTTGGACATTTTTAGTACTGACCAATGGATAAAGATATTAGTGTATTAGAGAAAATCATTTGCCATCTAAAGTTCTAAACCTCAAGACCGGCGTGGATTTTACTATAGCGGCTGACCCAGATGTGTATTTAAAGAATTACATCCCATTGATCATTAAATACCTCAAATTGATCTTATTGACGAGTAATAGACACATGCTTAATCTCATCCCGATCAGGCTATTGGTTTAAATGTTAACGAAAAGTCAGTTTGTACCAGAGCTGGGTCAAACACTCAAACTTGCCAAACATGAGCACTTATAGGTCCGTCGACACCTACATATTTATTACTGAAAGCGTTTCAGTAATGCTTACCCTACAAGGTCTTAAACCTCAACTGGGTTTTAATCCCGGCTGTCGTGTGGCCCTAAAACGGTCCATGTGCAGCACATTATTTTGTTCATGATAAATAGGGTTTTCGCCTAAAAATTAAGTTCAGTTACTAAGAAACATCTGAAGGATAGGTCACTATAGGTCATGGGCCTCGTTATTGACTTACTTAATCCATTACTAATTTAAAGATGCTTTCTAGCTAACCAAAATTTCCTAGTATTTCCTGGTCCATACTGGAAGAAGATGGCACGAACATCAATCACTGGATTGCCTACCTTGATATGGCATGCATGGCTACCAGAAAAATTGATCTTTCTTCCATCCTCCACTACGCTTCTCCCACTGAGACTGTCAACGAAACATATTTCGAAATCCAGCAGAACCCGAACAAGGACTGGACACCTGTCCAAACTGCTTTTATGAAAGAATCTGACTACGTCACTAACAACAAAGAAGCAGGTACTTGCAACGAGGTAGTCCCCCCCCCCCCCATCATACTCGCAAATATATGCATCACCCTCCGACTTAAACTTGCCACTACCATTAGCAACACACGCCCATGGACTCTGCTGGCACTGATCAAACGACGATTCAAGCATCAGTCTCGCAACACGTACGCCATCATGGTCGCTGCCTATCTTTGGACTCTCAACCGTCTGCAAGATGAGTCTCTCCGTACAGGTTCTATCGGATCGAGGACATTATACTTCGTGTCAAACTTCGAGGTACGACATTCTCCCCCCTGGTGGCCCAAAATCTCTTTATTAATAAACTTACACTATCACTATTTACCATATGCTTGACTACTTGTGAAAAACATCACGCCACCAAAACTTCTCTTTTCTCAAATGAAGCAGTGACCCCCATTGTAGTTTGTACAACTCCTGCTGCTGGACCTACTATTACAACAAGACGTCGTCCGGATAATAAACGAACTTAAAGCTTCAACTACAACACTAATCACCCGTCCCATGAAATGTTTTGTATGCCAAAAACTACTCGCGTATTTTCACCATGTCTAAAGGCCTGCGGCTGTGGAACCACATGCTATAACAGTCGCTCTTGTACCGCCCAATCACTGGAATGTACCAACTGTTAAAAAAAAGTACACTTTGCCATAGGGATATCCGTGGTGTGTTCGAAACATAGCAATAAACAGAGTTTCTCGTATTCTGTTACGATTGCTATTGCACGCATCACAATCCCAACGATCTGCAAAACTACTCAAACTCATTCTCCGGACAACAACTCATTACTAGTCGACGACGGTGCCACCGTGTTAAATTATATGCATACCTCAGCACGTCACTTACTCAACAAAGCTGAAACAGGCCGGTACCCCCTGCAACAGAGTACGACATAATTGGACCCCGAACTCACACAAGATCTCATTTCCTAAAACAATCTTCAAAATTTTGGCTTCACAATGAAATTCCCGGCCAACCGCAAAGAATGTCTCCTCGGTATTGATTCTTTCATCATTACTCTCCCTCGGAAATCTGGTGGCTACTACGTCTCATATTCCTCTCTTCAATGATTACTGAGTTCTCCAGTCTAGCAAGTGTCCGATCTTTCCGGGATCGATCAGGATTCCATCCCCGGATACTTGGTAACCCAACAGCTGAATCTCATTAACACCGAAGTGACATTTCTGACTGTTGATCTTAAAGTTGTGCTGGTTGAGTCTGTCTAGAACCCTGTCGTGCTCCTTTTTGGTTTTGGTGAAAACCACAATGTCATCAATGTATACCTGTACATTGTCTATGTCCCTAAACAAGTCTTCTATAATTTGTTGAAAGAACGCAGGAAACATGCGTAACCCAAAGGGGGCACCTTTGAACGTATATTACTGACCCGCCCAGGTAAAGGTGGAATACGTCCGGTGTGGTTTGTAGATCTTCATCTGGTGGTAGCCCTGCTTCAAGTCGATAGTGGAGAATATCTTAGCTCCCTCCATTTGCCTGAGTAGTTCGTTTATCCTATCAAAGCGTTAATTGGGCTCATATCCAAACCCACTCGAACTTTCTTCAGCGTCCCGTCAGAGTTGAATTGGTCGACGGCGAAAAACGCTAGGTTGTCGCGATTCGGCTCATAGTTGACTGCGACTACTCCATCTTCTAACCAAGCTTTAACCTGTTCTCGTACGGCCTGATCATGACGCCACTGCTACATAGTTACGTGTAGGACACTTCAGCTTCGAGAAATCTTCTCTCGTCAGGTCTAGACTAACGTATCCGTTATTGAATTCGAACTTAGCCCAGTCCGTGATCCGAATCTTGTCATTTTCGAAAATCAAGTCTTTGAGTTTATCTGTAAAGTGAAGGATCATCTGCTTCACAGTCTTCGAAGGTTTATATACCAGTTTCAACAAATTGTCGTCCGATTGATCCTTCTGTGGTTCGATGTTAGTAGGTAAGCCTGTAATTGTGATACCTAGTGACAATAAATCACTCATACCTACTATGAGAT